ACGTCATAATTGTAGATTCAGTAATAAATTAAGATTTGGATAGTTGGCACTATTAGCTAAATTAGACTCTGAATGGATACAATTGTATGTCGAAAACACAGACAAACCCCACACCGGAAAAATGTTCATCACAAGATAGAGGCACACTAAAGCTTAGGTTACTTTATCATCTATTTACCTCTAAATGGGACTATCGTTTACAGAATAAACTTCATGCTGTATTCAAGAAGACTTGAAACTAGCGATTGAGATCATAAACTTCTCAGGGAAATATGTATGATTAATTGGGTAATAATCAAGTATTTTATTGACTATTCTGGGACCTCTATTTGCAACCTGTTATACAAAAAAAACTAGAACAACATGTTGGTGAGCAATCAATCGAAACAAGGACAGTTAGGCAACAGCAGGTACTCAGCTCCTTTCCAAAGTCTGTACTGTATGGCAGTGCACATATACCTGCGCTATAGTTCCTCATATATAGCTGTCTGCAGGTCTGTAGCCACATGAGTGGGGCTCAGACTCCCTCAGATCAGCAGCTCTCTCCAGGAGCAGCCAGCCAGCCCTGCAGTCAGCTCTGGAGCAGACTCATCACCTCCACGCTGTGCTTTCATCTGCGCAGGAATGTTAGCAACTCACCGAGAAGATTGGCGGGATCAGTGTTAGTGTGGCAGAAAGAGCTGCCGTCAACAACTGACCCTGGAAGTAGAAAAAAAGAAAGAATTTTTTTTTGCATCCATCAGCACTTCTAATCAGAAACCTGCCACAACCTGCCACAACCTGCTACTTTGTGGTGTGTGTGTGTGTGTGTGTGTGTGTGTGTGTGTGTGTGTGTGTGTGTGTGTGTGTGTGTGTGTGTGTGTGTGTGTGTGTGTGTGTGTGTGTGTGTGTGTGTGTGTGTGTGTGTGTGTGTGTGTGTGTGTGTGTGTGTGTGTGTGTGTGTGTGTGTGTGTGTGTGTGTGTGTGTGTGTGTGTGTGTCATCCTTGCATTTTCCTCCCACTCTAACAAACCATCTGAAGTGAATGTGCATTCCAGGGTAGAAATAGCATGTTTGGATTGCTCTGAACCTCACAACCGCATCTGGAAACATTATTCTTGGAAGACAGGTCATTATCATAGGAAGCCAACTGAGAAATGTTTGGAGGAAATAAGCAAACTGTGCAACAGTCAGAGCAGTCAGAACCACAGAAAGGCTGGACTGACATAGTGTTCCACAACAGCCCCCTACACAAGACTGCTACAATCAAACCATTACTCTGTCATATGGCCTAATATTAAAACACGTTAAAGCAATTTATGGCTCAGTGTAGCCTCGCAAAGCCAACCCACATTTCTCACTTCCCTCACTGCGGACTAGTTTCAGTAAGTATTTGTGTCAGATGTCATTTAGGCTGTACAGTAAATAGTAGATGATTGACAAGTTGATGAGACATCGGTGTGGCCCCTTGTTGCACCTGATAGGACGAGGCACCACTCACTGCACTGTGATGAGTCTTTGCTTGTGTTTTTTTTAAAGATGCTGACTAGTCACGAAATGCTCTCAACTGTCACCTGAGGTCAAAAACAGGTCATCCAGTCACTGAGCATATTTCATCTGAAAGGCCTGGCCTATATAGGTAGTCATGACATTTGAGCGTTTCAAAAGGTGACACGTTACATCATGAACTAAAACACACACTAAAGCTGGCTTGGATCACTCTGGCCTTCAGAGTGTGAAGGGGATGTTGTCCAGATGTTTTCCAGACTCGTTTTTAGGCTGAGCTCATCCAAGACTTCAACTGCAATCTGTAAGGCTTTACAAATCCCATAATATAATGAAATCATACAATAATGTAATATATCACAGGTTGTAAGGGATGTCATATCTTTCCAAAATTGTTCATTTTTGCATTAGCTTAGTAAATACTCCCAGCAGATAAAAACGTTTTAATTGCTAAATATATCACAGACTCACAATTTTACATTACATTGAATTCCATGTGTTGCAAGGTAAATACTTTTATACCCAACAACTTTTCTATAAACTGCAGCAGTCATACAATGAAAGTCCTAGTTAATGTAGGATTTTCTAAGTTGTACTGGTGTATAGAGACATGACAACTGTGACACATTTCACAAACACCTCAGACAATCATTTATTTTCTAATAGATTGATTGCCTATAGAGAAACATACAGCCAGTGATCAGGGCCTGAGAGCTGTCACGGTGAGGAGCACACAGCCTCTGTGAGCGAGCGAGACACAGAGAGAGAGAGAGAGAGAGAGAGAGAGAGAGAGAGAGAGAGAGAGATGTAAAAAATAAAGCAAGAAATCATTCCAATGTGTACTATAGGACAGTAAAAAATTGATTAGTTAAAGTTGCATAAAGAAAAAGAAAGAATGCTAACTAGGTAACATAAGATAAGAATAAACAAGTTTAAATGATTTGTTATTGGTTGTGATCATATTCTAAAGATGTTTGGATTATTGAAAAGTATACAGCTCCCTTTCATCTGAGTGTTGAGAGCTGTATCCATAAATTCATGTTGTGCTCAAAGTGCAGCAGATTGATGACAGATTAAGTGTTGATCACTTCAACATTTAAAAATAAAATCTTCCTGGGGGTGCATGCCCCCGGACCCCCCTAGAGGATGTGAGGACCCCCCCCCCTCCCAGATAAAGCAGGTTAAAATAATTTAATTGTAACATGTTCTTTTAGTAAACACTGCAAACGGGTCCCACAGACCCAAACAGCACACAAAGGTTAAAGGTCAGCATATAATAATGTTAAAATGTGCTAAATATATACACTGCAAAAAACAAAAAAAGAGGAGTAAAAGTAGCTCACGCCAGGTGGGGTTGAAGAGGCCCACCTGTTCAAAGTGGGGAATGGCAGAAAAAGTTTGAGAACCACTGGAGTAGGGCAACAGGACGCTCATCGTCGGCCAGACATCCATCGACGGCCTAAATCGGCTTGGTGTGTCCGGGGCTTAAGACGCCTCCCAATCTCTATTTTCACACCTGCAGTAGTAACCATTCCACCTCCTCACCATCTAGTGGGGTTACCAGGTCATATGGCTCTGAGTATCCTAGATAAAGGAAACATGATTCCACAGATTAAGAAAAGGAATCTGTTATGGCATCTGATGGCACTCATCTCTGGACGTTGGGTTCTTTATTTACTTGAGAGGTTAGCTGTGTTTCCTCTTTTCCAGTTACACTTCTCCTCTTGCTAAGCATTTTTTATACATAAAAGTATGAGTCCGTGAGAGCTTCCTTCCTTGCTAACACCAGAAAGTTCAAATGTAGTATGTTTGATTTTTTCAACACATAAAACATGTCCTAGATAGAACATCTGGTTAGAATTATTATTCAATTAAAAGGTAACATATAAGAAGCTTACATGGCCCATTAGCTGTCAATCATACAGTCAACATCGAGCGGTTATCACAGAATATTTTCAAAGAGAAATGAATAATCACTGTGTAATCCAATTTTGTCTCATAGCCAGCCACATTAAAACAGAACACCAATGGAGCTTTTTGGAAGAAATATAATTTGGAGTATTCTATAAAACTAGAGCAAAACAAAGGCATTATTTATTGAAATAGTACGTATTATTTCAAGGTCAGAATGATTATCTTATTGAGGTGGAGTTTGATGCCTTGGGAGTGTTTATCCTTCACTCTAGAACTGTTTGAAAAAAGAAATCTCCTTCCAAACAACCTCTGTGGCACATTCTGAAGTTTCTGTTCCTCAATATATTGTAAAAATAATCAACTTTATTTATATGGCAACTGTCATAACATAAAATGTGGCTCAAGTCGCTTTACAAGAGAAATTAATCATTAACTCTTGTATTTAAAAAGGTTACAAAAACAAACCATGTATTAGAAACAGGTATAGAAACATACTTTTTTTTACAAATACTAAATAATATAACATTACAATAAAGAGGTATATTAGTTTAGTTTTTTATTGATGTGATGTATTAATGCCACCAACTCACGACATGTTGCCTCGCAAAGGAGTCGTCACAGTACACTCGGTGAAATGACCTTACAATAAAGCATGATCAAACTAATGCTTCGCAGCAGCAGGGGAAACCCTTAGCTGTAGATTGGGTCTTTATTTGTTGGGTTAAACGTTTTTAAAAGCAAACGGTAAAATTCCACATTTTCTTTTAAAGCTGCATATATGCAGTGTTCGGTGTAGTCACATAGGTTACAGTGTTTATTTAACAGTTCTTACTCTTGACTACAAAACATCCTCTGTGCTATCATTTGGCTCGTGTCTCAGCTGCTCAGAATACCTTTACACTGAGTCGTTCTTAGATTGAAAACACGTGTGGATCTGTAGAGCACAGTAATAGAGAGACAGCACTTTACACTGCAGTCTCCTGGCTCCCTTTATTTTAAATGTTTGCTTTCTAAAAAAAATGATTCTGTATGTTTTCATTTGTTGATGGGATAACTGTTTGTGTGCATGTGATTTAATAATGCAGTGGTGAGTGTGGGATTGGACTTCACTCAGTCAATCTTTTGTGAGTCATGCATAGATATATATCTTTGACCACGCTGAGCCCCCTACTCATGCACGTGAGAATGAGAAGAATATTTTGCTCATTTGTTCACAACAATATTTTGCATATTTGTACACAAGCTACCTCTCTTAATATCTGCACAGCTTTCCACTTTTCATAACAATACTGCACATTTTATTTTGTATTTTTTCTGTACGTCATTTCATCTAAATAATACTTTCTTACAATTTATCTTCGTTAACTATGTTTATGTATGCACCATGTATACCAAGGCATAATCCTCGTATGGGTAAACCTACTTTTCAATAAACCTGCTTCTGATTCTGAAAATGTTGTTTAAATGTTAAAGGGGAGCGATGATGTGCAGGGAGCAGTGTGTGTGTTGAATCATGAGGCGGGGGCTGATGTCAGCCCTGCGGTATGTGCTTGCTGGGTTTGGCTGTAAGCTGACCCCCCTCTGTTGTGCTTCTATTTCCAGGGCGTGAGCGGAATGTCCGTGGATGAGAAGCCTGAAGCCCCCATGTATGTGTATGAGTCGACAGTTCATTGTACCAATATCCTCCTCTGCCTCAACGACCAGCGGAAGCAGGATATCCTGTGCGATGTGACCGTCCTGGTGGAGGGGAAGGAGTTCCGCGGGCACCGCTCCGTGCTGGCCGCCTGCAGCGAGTACTTCCTGCAGGCGCTGGTGGGCCAGGCGGAGAATGGCTTGGTGGTCAGCCTTCCGGAAGAGGTACGACTATCAAACACACTTTGTCCTGCACAGTTTTTCCTTTCCATGGGTGGAAGTGCTATTGACCTCTAGACAATGCAACTCTAAAACTCCACACTGACACCAGTACAAAAGCAATACCAATCAGCCTCTCCACACCTCCAGCCACAGCCACAAAGTGACCAATGGACTGAGCACCTCTACACTGAGAATGTCAACAGATTTCACACAACTGTTTTTAGGTTAGTTGAAAGAAATAATATTAAGTTAGGTTCAACTTAATATTATTGCTTTCGACTAACTTAATACACTTGTGCGAAATCTGTTGACATAATACATTTAATTAAAGTCCATGTTTCAGTTTTTTCCGTGTGTCTACCCTACAACTTCAGTGGGAGAAAGAAAACACAGCGTAGAATGCAACCATTGGTTGCTAAATTGTTATGACATAAAAAAAGCAATCAGATCTCAAATAGGATGACCGATGGTTTTCTGACTGATTAAGCCATCAATGGAGGTGTGACATTAACTTGTTGCAAATGCTTTGGTCCATGCAACAACTTTCTTATGAAGTTCATGCAATCATATAAATAATCACCCACTCAGCCACATCTCAAACTGACTATAACTGCTATACATGGAGCTAAACTCACAGCCACACTCCTGTACACTCCTCCATCACCAATAGATGTGTGCTACTGAGGGGATTCTGTTCACTGGTATTTTTCATACTGAACAACCTTTCAAATCTCTAGTTCAGTTTATCTGGCGACCAAGAGAAAATAAAGAGACATTATTGCATTTGAGTTCTGCTCTGGTTCAATAATCAAGAAAGTAAAGTAAACAGTAAACATGGAGTAATATGGACTTTTCAAAATATAACATTTGGTGAGCGTGATTCTGAATCATAAGCGTGACAGAAGAGATCAAACTATGTTTGCTGACGGCAAGTAATGCTGCTCTTATGAGAATATGTATCCTCTCTAGTTTCACAAACCGCTCACAAAATGATCAGCAGCAATATGAATGGGTACTTGTATATCATTAGAAGTCAATGTAAGCCGCGTTCAGCTATGTCAAAACATCTGCTTCCTTTCACACAACTTGTGCAGATGAATCCAAGTCTCTTTTATTCAGTTGTATGAATCTTCTTGCTATCTTAATAAAAAGTAAAAAAGAAACTTAATGTTTTAGGAAACATGCATGTGTCTTTGAATTAGTACATTTACAAATTGATTAATGACCCTAATATGAAAGTGAATAGGTTGTGTGAGAGTTTGTTGATATATTTTTTTTATATAGTTGTACTGTTGTTGAATGAGCCAAGCATCTACTTCCATTCATCAAGACATGTCTTTGTTTTTTATTCTTGTTCACCTTTGAGGCATGATGCATGAATGAAAGGTTTTGCGACTACAAGCTTTTTCTGTCAATATAGAACCCATGGCAGAGTTCCCGTTAGCCGGTAATTACCGGACTACGACCGGTAAAATATGTTGAAGACCGGCAAATCTAAATCTCTCCGGTCAAAGTGTCCGTTCAAAATCATTTCCGTTTAGCGCAATATTACATCAGTTGCGCAACTTGCGCCATTTATGTGACAGACAAAAGAGTATGTGACAGACAAGAATAGTCCATTACTTAATGTGGAGAAAGAGATGTCCTGTATGGGTTGATTGTGCGTTGATCTGTTGGTAATGCCTCTGGGTTCCGGTGGGCATGTAAACAAATGCATAATGCTGCGCTATACTTTGCGGCCTCACCCGGTTGCATAGCGACGCTTATTGTTTAGGTGTCTTTTAATAAGCAGGTAGTCCTATCATTAGCTAGAACTAGCTAGATCTGATCGATATGGACATAAACACGAGTGAAGTCTAATCTGACGGGAGAGAGAGATCAGCTGCTGCTGACGAGTCGACACGCAGCTCTGGATGATCACATGCAGCGGTGAGCGGAACAAAGCACACATCAGGTTAGAATAGCACACGTAGGCCTAGCTATTTTAATGACCTCTCAAACTACCGTAACTATAGATATGTTTAGTTTTACTGTCGGGTCACTCATTTCTCCAGTAGGGCCTGGCTCATTTCGTGGCATCTGCAGGCAGTGGCAAGTCCTTCCGGCATATGCCACAGAGGCCACTACTCTGTGGTAGCTGTGGCAAGTCCTTCCGGCATATGCCACAGAGGCCACTACTCTGTGGTAGCTGTGGCAAGTACTTCCGGCATATGCCACAGAGGCCGCTACTCTGTGGTAGCTGTGGCAAGTACTTCCGGCATATGCCACAGATGCCACAACTTGCGGAGGCATCTGCCGCTGCTCAACGGGAGTTGCCACAAGATGCCAGAGTAACGGTACGTCCACACAGCAGCTTTTCAAAAATCTTGAAAATCTTGGAGCTGGGCGTGTCTGAAAGCTTGGGGATTTCGCGACCAACAACCAATCACATGAATCTCCCGCCCCCGACATACAAAGCAAAAAACCCCGGTTCTTCTCCACTATTTCTTTTTTTAACATTTTTAACATTTATGAGATTAATGTTTATGGTGCTATTTTATGCTACATTCCATGCTGGCTAATGATACTGTCTATGCTTGCTAGCAACGAAGTAAACTAGCAACAAAGTAAACTGGATATAAAATCCCCAAACAAGCGAAAACCTACCAGTTTCACCCACTGTCTCTGCCACCTCCCTCCATGCCTGGTTCCTCCGGTTTGTATCCCGGTAAGTAAATAGGGACTGGTCATAAAGAACCGGGTGATTTGCTACCGCAATAACTAAGTTCTCCTCCACTTTTGTGGAATATAGAAATGAACTGCGGGTCTCGTTCTCCCAGCTTGCACGCGGTTTGATTGGCTAGCGCTTGAACTGTCAGATTTGCATAAACGGATCTGATTGGCTGTCACTTCCAGCTCAGCCTCAAAAGTTGAACATTGTTCAACTTTGGAATCCTGAACATCCTGGAAATCCTGGAAATCTTCGCCTCGCCCCCCCACAATGCAGTTCGGCGACAAGCGAGGGAAAGTGACGTCATCCCCATTCAAAGTCAATGGACGGAGACGCGCTGGAAGCGGTGGACAAATCGCCAAAAGCTGCTGTGTGTACGGGCCGTAAGAGAACGTTTACGATAGCTGTCACTCGCCTTCCGTGGCAAATGCTGCTATTTAAACCCGTATTTATCGTGTAAAATGTCACTGTTTTGGCATGACTTTATCTAACTGATCTGTACACAGGACTGATGATCTGTGCACAGGGTTGGGTTGTAACTGAATACATGTAACGGCGTTACGTAATCAGAATACAAAAACCAAGTAGCGTAACTGTATTCAGCTCGCGTTACATTTGAAAAACGAGTAATCTGATTACAGTTACTTTCGTAAACCTGAAGTGAATACATTTTGTAATACTTATTGGAATTATTGGTGGAAAAGTTTCCTCACAAAATGTATCCTAATATTCATTACCGAATGAACTGTGTGCACAGCGCAGCAGCATGTCTGTGAGGCCCCGCCCCCGCACGCAGATGAGAGAGAGATCTCTTTTTAAATATATTGAAAGTTAGAAACGGAGATGGTTCGATAAAACGTGCAAGATAACGTTTATGTAGCATTTCTTTATTGTCGAAATGATGACATTTCATAACTGGATCAAATCAAAGTGAATGGCCTGCTGCTGCTGAAGGCATGGGACAAAGATAAGTCCTTTGCCTAATTTATAAAGTAAACCTTAGCATCTCACTAGCAGTGGCAACTGCAATCAGTTACAGCTGCCCTAAGTCTGTAGCCAAGTCTAATAACACCAGTGTACACGTTGCTGTGTCAATACAGATATGTATTTGTTAATTATTTGTCTTTACAAGTCAAACACCTGGTTTATCGTAGCAAGCAGAGCAAACTCCCCTCGAGAAGCGAAAATTGCCAAGGGCGTTGCAACCCTCACTCGCCAATATTTCATCATAAATATAGCACGTGTGTTTATTTTAGCAAACCATGCTCCAAGTAAAATTGAATAGAAATTATAATGTTTAAAAAAATAGAGATCGGACCATCAGTCCTGTGTACAGATCATCAGTCCTGTGTACAGATCATCAGTCCTGTGTACAGATCATCAGTCCTGTGTACAGATCAGTTCGATAAAGTCATGCCAAAACAGCGACATTTTACACGATAAATACGGGTTTAAATAGCAGCATTTGCCACGGAAGGCGAGTGGCAGCTACCGTAAACCTTATCTTACTCTGACATCTTGTGGCAACTCCCGTTGAGCAGCGGCAGATGCCTCGGCAAGTTGTGGCATCTGTGTCATATGCCGGAAGTACTTGCCACAGCCACCACAGAGTAGCGGCCTCTGTGTCATATGCCGGAAGGACTTGCCACTGCCTGCAGATGCCACGAAATGCGCTTGCTGTCTCTACATTACTGATCCGCGAGCTGCATGACACTGACGGGCTGTCAGGAGAGGGAGAGTGCTCCGTTTATTATTCCCGTGTTATTGTAAGTTACTGAACACTTTTGAATAGTTAATCTACTATAATTAGTTTGTTTAATATCGAATCATATCAATTTGTTTTAAAGCACAATAAATAACAAAGAAGACCTTTGACCGGCACTTTTCTCATTTTGTCCGGAAGATTTCAACTTTAACGGACATGTTGACCGGCGAAAAAATATTCTAACGGGAACTCTGACCCATGGAGGAATGTATTGCTTCAATCAACTACATTTACTATAAAAAACTTGGTTCAAATCCACATAAAAGGTGAGAAATGTAACCTTAAGCTGCATCAGCATCTTTTTTCTTCTATACTGTTTCCAGTGGCTTTTGCAGGCATGATATAGCATAGTTTCAAGGTTGTGTCTTCCTGGTCGAATGTACTTATTGTAAGTCGCTTTGGACAAAAGCGTCAGCTAAATGCAATGTAATGTAATGTAATGTAATGTAATAGCAGCAAACCAGATTTGAATTCATGTGCCGTTCACTGGAGGACAAAGACTCAGTGAAAGGTGTGAGAAGTGCATTA